TCCCTTTTGATCTCTAAAGAGAACAGGTTTTAACAGTCCTGCTCTCCCACTCCCCAGCCCCAACTTTAAAAAAAAAATACATCTTCCAGCCTTCTGCAGGAAGCAGAAGCTTCCCTTTTTAAAAGACCCCAGCTCAGGACCGGGGCAGACATTCTCCCTGCCTGGAAGGGAATCTGTCCCATGTGTTCCTTTGCTAATAACCTCTGCTTTCTCCTGATCAACCCTATTCATCCTATGACTACTTTTTATCTATCAGTTATTACTATGGATTTGGCCAAGATCTCCACTGGGAACTTCCACTCTAGCTCCAAGAGTTGTTCCTGTGGCCAGTCTTTCTTTCCTTGGTTTGCTTTGGAAGCATAGTGATGCATAGTTTAGCTTGTTCTTAAGGCAAGTCAGCTGCTCTGTGCTGCTAACTAAAAAAATCCCTATTTTTCTAGTGCCCTGCTAGCCTTGAATTTCTCCACTTCTGTCCTAAATAGAATCCTCCACTAACAAAGGCGATAAAACAGCAGCTTCATGTATGGAGAGATCTTTCCCTTTACACCTCTGCCAGGGCTCCTGCTCTGGCCCCTAAGTCTGCAAAATGCAGCATCTTTCCAGGAGCAACAATGCCGCAGAACCAGTTGCATAGCTGCAGATTCTGATGCGGGCAGAACCTATTTGGTCATTGAGACCAGGTGAGGTTCAGCTCCTCCCTTGATGATGTCTGTTGAGGCTTCTCAGGCGTCCAAGATAAAAACACAGGCCACAGCAGCAGCCTACCCAGCCTCCACCAGGTTGATCTGGAGCAGAGACCAGAACTGGTCCACCAGCAGCCATGGGCAGCCGTGTTTCCCGGGAAGACTTTGAGTGGGTTGACAAGGAGGATCTGCACATCAGCCGGCGCAGGGAGATCCTGGGTGAGGATTTGTGTATAATTTGCCTGGCGCTCCGGAATCCTGAACTGTCTTACTCCTTGAATTAGTTTGTTTCCATTGTTTTGGGTTTGTGCCTGCACAAGAGCTCCAGGATAAGTGCAGGGTTGATAGGGCAGAAGGAATATTTAGGGTGCTGGGGTCCCAGGGTCCTGAAGCTACCTCGACTCTTTCATAAAGAGGTTTGTGTTCTAGAGCCAGTAGGCCACCATAAATATGTTGGATGGACTGTTGAAGTTATGCATCTAATCTTTTTCACCTCCCGATCCTCCAACTGGGAGATTCCCGTGCCCATGGGAGGGCTGCTATTCAGAGCCTCCTCCAAAGGAGAGGGGCAAAGCCAGGTGGCAGTTGTGTGAGATGGTCCTCATGGTACTGAGGTAAGCCAGGGACCCTGGAGACATACTCAGGCTTTCCAATGTAGGGGACAGTACCACAGGGTACCAGCACCTTACCCTATAATGTAGGAACCTCTCAAACAGGACAGTTCCCAATGTGTTCCAATCTCCTGTCTTAGTGACCCAATGATAAGCCTGGAACAGCAGAAGGGCAGATTCATATACATTTTCATCACTCCAGACTTTGAGGGTGAGAGGCTGAAATAAGGAAGGCCAACCAAATGGGGACCATGCCTGGCTCAGCCTGATGGTCTAACCACTGCTCCTTGAGAGCCTTTTAGGCATTGTCTTTTCCTAGGACAAATGGATTTCAAAAGAAATACTAGGGAACTGAGGTATGTGAGAGAATTCCTGGGCTTGGGGATCCGTGCCCTTGGGAGGCAGAGTTAAGGAACCTCTGTGACATTGATGTCAGACTGGTCTACATGGCAAGTTCCAGGGAGTCCTTGTCTTAAAAAGTACTTACCACCTACCAGGTGACAGTTAACCAGTGATGAACAGGTTCTGTTGAAGTGCATATCTGCACTCTAAGGAGATGACCTCCTGCATAAGAGAACAAGGCTGCTGCTCAAGGAGCCACCATGAGCAAGGCCCATCCTACTGAACTGAACTAATTCAGGGACCAGAAGTCATTGTGGGAATAAAATGGTGGCAGACCTGTATGGAAAAACTGCAGGGCTTGATTCCAAGAGTGTATGGAGATGGTGACTGGAGGGCAGCAGAGGTGGGTATATGAGGTGGTCACGTGAGGAAGTATCAACATGCTGGGAGTCTTGGATGGCTGTTCGCCAGACTCCACCACCCCAAAGGGCCTGTTTTACCATCACATGTGATTGGGTGGTATACATTTTCATATGAAATTTTTGTAATACTCACAAAAATTTAAAAAAAAGACAAAAGGAAAACAAAGACAAAAAGCAAACAAGCAACATAAAACAAAGCAGGGGACTGTAGAGATGGCTCAGTGGTTAAGAGGGCTTGCTGTTCCTCCAGAAGACCTGGGTTCGATTCCCAACACCTACCTGTCGACTAAAAACTCTGTAACTCCAGTTCCAGGGGATCCAATGCCCTCTTCTGATCTCTGCAGGCACAGCACGACATGGGTGCATTTATACCAATTTACACTCATACACATAAAAATAAGTAATAAAAGTAAACTAAGTAATAAAAATAAGTAATAAAAATAATAAGTAAAATATTTTCAAAAAGTAGAAACACAATTTCATTACATCTGTATTTGTCGCGCTGCTGGAAGTTGAGCCCACAGCCTTGTGCGAGCTAGACAAGTCTCCACTGCTGAGCTCCCACATTCCATCTGCAGTGTTTCCAATTTCCCCACATCCCAGTGATCAGTTGTCTTTATTTTATAGCCATTATTGGGGAGAGACACAGTTGTATCTACAGTTTTGATTCTTATTTTCTCTATGAATAACAATTTAAATCTGCAGTTCAGTTCGTTAGTTTTCCTCCATGAAATGTGCTCCTCGTAGGCAGTGTAAGAAGGCAGAGGACTCATGAGCGTGGACCTCAATGCTTTCTTTTCAGTGTTGTGGTTTTTCCTATAGGTGAGTCTGGGACCCATTTTGAGTTAATTCAAAAAATTTCAGTTACTTTTATTATATTATGTGTACGATAATGTGGTGCATACACACATATGCACATATTCAAATGTTGTGCGTGCTGATATGTACACATGCATACAGAGGCCAGAGGTGACATCAGGTGTCTCCCACCATTGTACTTCATTTGGAAAAGGATTTATTTTAATTGCCTTGTTTCTCTATGTCTCTGTGTCTGTCTTTCTGTCTCTCTCATTCTGTGTATGTGTGTGTGTGTGTGTGTGTGTGTGTGTGTGCACATGTACGGATCAGTGTCCATGGACATCATAAGGGGGGTATTGGATCCCTTGGAGCTGGAGTTACAAGCGTTTGAGAGCTGCCTGATGTGGATGCTGGGATCTGACTCCTCTGACAGAGCATTAAGCACTCTTAACTGGTCGGGCATCGCTCCAGTCCCTGCCCTCCACTTTTATTTGTTGAGGCAGAGTCTCCTGATGAACCCAGAGCACACCAACTCCAGATAATCGTCTATCTAACTAGCTTGCCCAGGGTTCCTGCATCTCTGTCTTCTAAAGGCGAAGATATAGGCAGCCCCAAAATCTCCCTGGAGTTTACAAACTCTTGTCCTCAAGCTTGTACAGCAAGCTTTGTTCACCGAGCCATCTCTGCAGCCCACTATTCGGGTAATTTTTATGCAGCTGTAACAAAGAGGTCCAACTGCATTATTCTGAGTGTCGATGGCAAGTTCTCAATCACCATTTTATGAAAACACTCCATTATACTACGTGGACTTCCTTGCACTATTATTATGTTTTATTATTATTGCTTGGAAAAATTCAGTGTAGTCTTATGTGGAGCAAGTTAATTTGTCTAAAAGAAACATGAACATAAGTTTCATGGGTTTAGGATCATTTAATATGCACCTATCCTTTGTCAGATGTGTTTACATAATGTAAAGATGCTAGAGCTCTGTCAAACAAAGATAGAACCTAGAACAGAAAAGAAACTGGAAGTTCCAGATTTTTGAGGTTAATTTTTCTGTAAGTTCTCAAATTCTGGTGTCACAGTATAAGTTTACTAGAAGAATCTATTGATTCCCTGTAGTATATGAACACGGATTTAGAGAAGAAATATCTAACTAATGAGTTATTCTCATTTGTGTATGTTTGTGTATGTGGGTGTGTATGTGCATATGTACCTGTGGGGTGGTGCATACGTGTTCAGGTGTGCCTGCTTGTCTTTATATTTGTGGAGAGGGCAGGGGTCAACCTTGAATCTCGTTTCTCTGGGGCCATCCACCTTTTCTTTGAGACAGTACCTCTACTTGCCTGGGTTTGCCAGTTTAGCTAGGCTGTCTGGCCAGTGAGCCCCAAGGATCCAGCCATCTGCCCCCAGCACTGGGATATCAAGCTCATGTCAGCACACCTGCTCTCTTACACAGGGTCTTGGGATCAAACTCATGTCCCCATGCTTATATAGTAAGCACTTTCCTAAGTGAGCTCCCTCCAGGACTCATTACAGTTTAAGTATGTGAAGTATAATGTTTATAAGTACAAGTTTCCTATTCTCCGCTTAAGATTTTTGCATTTTTTCTTACAGCAAAGTATCCAGAGATAAAGTCCTTGATGAAGCCTGACCCCAACCTGATCTGGATCATCAGTATGCTGGTTCTCGCCCAATTGGTTGCATTTTACTTAGTGAAAGACTTGGACTGGAAATGGGTCTTATTTGGGGCCTATGTCTTTGGAAGCTGCATTAGCCATTCAATAACTGCAGCGATCCATGAGATTTGCCACAATTTACCCTTTGGTCACCACAAGGCTCTGTGGAATCGCTGGTTTGGGATATTTGCCAATCTCCCTTTAGGGGTTCCATATTCGATCTCTTTTAAGAGATATCACATGGATCATCATCGCTACCTCAATGTTCATGGCATTGATGCAGGTGCGCCTTCTGATTTTGAGGGCTGGTTCTTCTGCACCCCTTTCAGAAAGGTCGTGTGGGTTACTTTTCAGCCCTTCTTTGTCCTCATTCGACCTCTGTTCATCAATCCCAAACCAATTTCACAACTAGAAATTATCAATATTGTGGTGCAGATCACTTTTAACATTACAATTTATTGTATTTGGGGAACCAAATCTTTAGTCTACATGTTCACAGCATCTCTACTTAGCTTGGGTTTGCATCCATTTTCTGGACACTTCCTAGCTGAGCATTACCTGTTCTTAAAGGGGCATGAGACATACTCGTATTATGGGCCTCTGAACTTTTTTGTGCTCAATGTGGGCTATCATAATGAGCATCATGACTTCCCCAACATTCCTGGAAGAAGCCTTCCACTGGTAAGTAATGCTTTGAGACGTGTTTTAATTTCTGATCATTGTAAAACCAAAATCAGTTTTCACTTGCTCATCTGGAAAGCACGTTAGCATAGTTTATCAAGCATAGATTCCCACCAAAATCAAAGTAAAGTATAGCATAAATCTAGTGTCTGAAAGCCCAATTTTACTAAGGTTCGCTCTTTTGTATCCTTGAGCTTAGTGGTTTCTCTTGGAGTTCAGAAGTATTAGAAGCTGTGCAAAATCTTTTATCCGGTAAAAATACCTCAGAATTGAAAACACAAAATCCTCTGTGGCATGAGCATCAGTTCATATTGAACTGATGGGATTTGTTAGGATGGGTGTATTGGGTTCATGATTTACGGATGAAATAACCTGCATAATGGATCTGCAAAGTGAATGAACATCAGAGTCTCATGCTGCGCTCTTCCCGGGGAGCGACTCTCTTTCTCCTTGGAGAACACAGCTTTGTGTGTGTGCTTAGTGTTTTTAGTATATTCAGAGCATGCAGGAGTCACCCCAATGTCAATTGGGATATATTACAAAAGAATTTCTGAAGTTTCATGCTTTGTTTTTTAGACAGAATCTCCCTGAAGTCACTAGCCTGGACCTCTCCATTTAGAGCAGGCTGGCCTTAGAATCATAGTCACTCCTATGATTCTGGTTCTGCCTTGTGAAGGCTGGGATTAAAAGTGTGCATAACGATACACAGGTGCAAAGGATTTTAAACTACTATACCAATTTGTTTACTCTGTTTCTGTTTTATTTTTTCTGAGATTTGCTATTCATAAAACACCATCTAAGTATGTTTACATCTTCTCACAACTTTGTTAAGTACAGAGAAACACAGCAATTTGTTATGTTAACATTTGAATGGCACTGGATACGTGGCTAATTATCTCTGATATATAATTCCAAGTACTAAGGAATATATTGACCTTCAGATTTATGACTGTAAGATATATTTATCATTTTTGCATTATCCTGAGTGTTAATACACTTCAAGTCTTCATAAATCAAGTCTTCATAAATGTCATAAGTGCTTTATCAGGACCTGAGCCGGCTCTGTCATTTTATAGTTTTGGAACTCCAGTTCTATTCCAGTTGCTGAACTAAACAGATTGCTTCTGCTGTGCTGAGTTCAGGGTGGATTTTGACAGAGCTGTTTACATGTGTGTGTGTAATCTGTAGATCATCCTTACTCATGAATTGCAGGACGTCAAGGATCAGGAGCAAAGGCACTGCCCGTCTGGTGTGGAATTTTGTCGCTCTCTGCGTCAGACTCTCACCTGTCATCTTGCTGGGCCTCAGTAACACTCAGATCTGTAGATCATCCTTACTCATGAATTGCAGGACGTCAAGGATTAGAGCAAAGGCACTGCCCGTCTGGTGTGGAATTTTGTCTCTCTCTGCGTCAGACTCTCACCTGTCATCTTGCTGGGCCTCAGTAACACTCACCGTTCACCTTGCTGTGTTTTTTTCCCTTCCAGGTGAGGAAAATAGCAGCTGAATACTACGATGAGCTCCCCATCACACTTCCTGGGTGAAAGTCCTGTATGATTTTGTGATGGATGACACCATGAGTCCCTACTCAACGATGAAAAGGCTTCCAAAAGGGAGCGAGGTTCTGGAGTAAATGAATGACCACTGTCTGAGCCAAAGAAATCCCACTCTAATGTTGTATAGTAGCTTGCAATGTGGAAAATTTTCTCACTGTGTATTTCTCTCCTCTCTCTCTCTCTCTCTCTCTCTCTCTCTCTCTCTCTCTCTCTCTCTCTCTCTTTCTGTGGTTCTGGTAATGTAACCTAGGACATACTCCAGGCTCATCAAATATTCTACCAATGAGCTTTCCCCACAGCTTGAATTTTTGCCTTCTTATGCTTGAGAAAGGTGGTAATCAGAATCTACCTTGTTACAGTTGAATACAGATCTCCATGGTATCAAGAATCTGCTCTAGGTTATGCAGAGCTGTCGGCATTGGGTTAACAGCGCTGTCTGCTCTTGCAGAGGACCTGGGTTCAGTTCCCACCACCCACATGGCAGCTATCCTCTGTTCATAACTTCAGTTCCAGGGTGATCAGACACCCTCTTTCTGCCTTTGCGGGTATTGCATACATGTGGTTCACTTATATACATGCTGGCAAACCACTCATACAAAATAAAAATGATAAATTTAAAGATAAAAGACTACTCTGGTTTTAGGTCAGCCTGACTATTACAGTGATCACCTGAACCTGAAGTATACTTGCTTACTGAATTCTCATCCCTGCTGGTGTCTTCACCCATGCCTGTCAATTGTAAGCACGTTGTGACTCCCTACTTGTACAACATGATTTTTACCAAAAAGTTTTGATTTAATAAGTCAACTGAGCTGTGCTGTCAATCAGAAGGGCTTAGTATTTCCTGCTTTCTCATATTTCACTGTCTGTTGCTATGTTGTAGAGTTACCCAAGTCCTAGGGAAGACAATTTTAATTTTCTTTCCAAAAGAGCTTTAAATAGGCTCAGGGGCCTTCCTGGCACACAGGTCTGGTTTTGGCTCTAATCTCAGGGAGGCTTAGCAGGAGATTTGTGTGACTCTGGAGTTTGAACGCAAATATAGGCACTTGCTGAGGGAATATAGTAAAGGGGCTGAGAAGGCAAGAGCTTTGATAGAAGCTGAACTACTGGCTTTGCTTTTGAACATGAGGAAGCTACATGAGAGGCTGCGGGATCCCGAACTCCTCCCAAACTTAATGATGACCAGTGTTTGGCTTCCTCTTTCACCAGTGTTGATTCTTCAGAAACAGCTCAGTGGGGCTGAGGATAGGCAGTTGGTCTCAAATAGCATGGATCCTGTGTGCTTAGGTCAGCAGGCCTGGTTACTTCCAAAGTGCACTTGGGAAAATACAGTCGAATGTGAGAAAGTAGTTTTAAAATATTGCCAGCGATATCGTAGCTTCCTAAAGAGTCAAGAGGTGCCTGGACAGTTGACTATGGAGATGGAATTCCCTTGGGTTTAGCAAACTGGCTTTACAGTCCCAATGTCACCCCCGAAGTGATTGTATCCCGGATCCCTTTCTGACCCTTTTGTCAGGTGAAATTCCTCCTGCCATTGAATCTGTCGCTGAACGGACCATTGTGACAGGGTAGAACAGCGGTAGAACCAGCTGTGCAATATAGATTTATTCAATCACTATTAAGACCCTCTGTGAAACAGACCCATGGG